TAATCCAATTACGTAAAATTGCAATTAATTGACCAATTATGACTGCGCCATCAATCAATTAATTGAGTTTGAAATATTGCAATTAATTGTCCCCACAATTAATTATTTGGTAGGCCTGAATTTTACGTTGTCATTTAATTGTTTTTTTCTCTAACAATAAATTATTTTGCCAGAATTCTTTTATATCTTGTGGAACATTTTGGCATTCTCGTGCTAAATATCGCTTAAGTGTTTGTGGCTTGCCATGAGCCCAATTACATGAATAATGCTTACAACTTGCTGCATAGTACCCATCATCTAAATATTCTTCTATATTAACATAATTCCAGACTTGGTCTGGTTTAGACCCACTACAATGTCTCTTCTTAGTTTGATTTAAAATATGAACATCTTCTGGTGAAATGTTTTGATCATTAGAAATACTACTAGATCTTTGAAAAGGCTCATCACTTGGTAATTGCTGAATAGGAAGTTGGGAGCCGAAAATTTGTAAATCAAAATGAGAAGTAGGTATAAAAAACTGATCAATATTATAGTTTAATTCATATGTTTCAAATGTAGAAAGTTGTTCATGATTACTAATATTGTTAAACACATTTATTGTAAAGTTCACTAAGAAATTTTTTATTTTTGTTTTACTGTATTATTTAGCTATCGCTATGGTATGTTAATAATGATAATAGTTACTATTTTGGAAATTGGATATTTATCGTTATGACAATTATCTAAATTACGGCATGTTACATATTTGATAATATAATTATGACATTAAATAATGTTACATATCTGATAATAATTACGATATATTTGGAATCATATGATTTTGTCGTAACCGTAACCGTAACTTGCCGAATGCCATATAATTCATTAGAACAATTTGCCTGCACCTCTAGTTACAACAAGTGATGACCATATTCTACTGCATCACTAATCGAGATCGAGGTCTTCATTTTAATCATAATTTTTATCAACATTTCTTTGTCATGTTCATTGTAGATTTTGCTATTACTGTATTACAATTGTTGTCACTATTTTTTTCGACGGTTTTTTGAATTTTGAATGGATCTCTAAAAATCGTAAACTTTTGTAAAATCACCTCAATAAGGTTCTAAAATTTTAATTAGCTCAGCACTACCATCTATCTCTAATTCTTCTAAGTCTACTAAATCTTTTATAAACTCTAAATTAATTAAAAGATTTTTACGAACATTTAATGTTTTTATTTGAGGATAGTTTTCAATGATTAATGCTTTTGTCTGCAATTTCAAATAGTACACTATTGCAGTTGAGGCAAATTTTTAAGTTATCTTATCTATATTTACAATTTCTTGCAAAATGTTTCATTTTTTTTTCTAGTATCAATATGTTAAAAAAAGCTATTTGAATTCTTAATTTTAATTATGTACGAGCTAATGACATATTTGATCATGTGAGAGGTCAGGTATTAATTAATAATATCTTGAGTGTGTATTAGTGGATTGATTCCAGTCAATCTACTAATACCCAATGACCCAAGATATTATTATGACGAACACCACGTACTGATTAATTAGCAAGTTTGGAAATAATATATATCTAGGTGTAAAGTATCATAAGTGCGTTTTAGTAAAAGTTTTAAAATATAGTTTTTGCATTTTTCTAAAATGCATCTATAGTGTTTTACTATATCTTACTGTATTATGTTTTGTAGATTTTTTTTAATTTTTTTTGTTTATAAAATTTTTAATACAAATTTTCTATGTTAGGATTAACTAATATTTAGGATTAGAATTAAGATCTAGGAAAGGTTTTGGGGCGTAAAGCATTTTTATTTAGAACACCTCATACAGATTAATTTGAAAATTAAAAGGGGTGTGACAACTTAGTAAAGTGGTCAAGTTGTCACCCAGTTGTTGAGAAAATCAGAACCGAATATTAATATAAAATTATTTTTATTTTTTGATATATATAAAAATTTTGTTTGATATTATTTTTAATATAGCTGTGACTATATAGAGTGAACTCTACATTAGTCACACCTCTATATAATCACTATTTTTTGTATCCCAAAGTGTAACTATAGAGAGGTTTGACTATGATTTGATTTGATTAGTTTAATGATAACAAAATTTGTATAATAACGATAAAATGTATGATAAAATGTATGATCGTGTTTTACTATATTGTACTTTAGTTCTTCTAAAACTGAATATTTCTTTTATGATTAGAGTATTAACGAAATTCTTTTTTCTGGCTTGATCTTTATTGGTAAATAACTTTTTTTAATAATTTGGATCTTTGCTAGGAAAATCACCCTTCAAGATTTTTCAATCAGGTTAATTCGAACATGCAAATCATTTTTTAATTGAATAATTCTATAGTTTGTTAAATAAAATATGAGATCAATAAAGTAAAAGATGGTTTATATGCAAATAAGAACCAGTATTCTGGTCTAAGTTTGTTTGAATTAGCCGATCAGAAAATCTTGAAAGGTGATTTTTCTAGCAAAGATCCCAATTTTTCTTTTTGACAAACATATTTTTGTTCTGATTATATTGTCATTTTAATATATATCAATATTTTAGTTCTTAGAGTATAAAACATGTCAGATTGGTTTAAAGTTGCTATTGAACAATATATTATATCATTTATGATTCTTTTTAGAATTGGAAACTAATTGGTAAAGAAGGTTTTAGCACTATATATAGTGCTTATTCAAGTGATACTGAAAACATTATAGCTTTAAAAAGTTTAAATTGCGATATAACGATATTTCGCTAAGCAGATTTATTAAAGAAGTATTAATCATTTTATAATATCATTTATATTTTATTTGCACCTTTATTCATATTTTTGCTGACTTTATTACATTTTTTGATATATTATTGAGTTGCGTATTATAAGATTTTTTGGAATCACACAAGGTATTAGCTAATACTGTATTATGTAACAGAAAAATAAACTCTATTGATTAACTAATAATTTTGAGTAAATTAGATCCAAAAACCAAAGCATACTCAGTTTGCTAACAATAGTGATCTTTGCTGCTATTTACAAAATAATTTCTCAGAATTAGATTGGACAACTAACATCAGAATAGCAAAAGATATTGCTAGTGAGATTAATTGTTTACACAATGAGAATATTGTTCATCGTGATCTTGTAAGATACTTTTTCTGTATTATTTCTAACTTTTAATTATATGTATATTAATATTATTATAGTATGATATGTAGAAATATATTGATGCATAATAGTAAATTAATGATTGTCGGGGATGATGCTGAAATCGGATGATGCTGAAATTTAGGGGCCTTAATTTGAAAATATAAATCCTACTAAAA